GAAAGAAGTTGCTATGGCCACTGTCAGAGAAGTTACTGCTTGCAGTCTTATCTAGGATTTTTATACTTTCAGGTCTCACATTTAGGTCTTTAATCCATGTTGAATTTATTTTTGTGTATGGTAAGAAAATGGTTTCATTCTTTTGCATGTAGCTGTCCAGTTTTCCCAGCACCATTTGTTGAAGAGACTTTTTCCCATTGCATATCTTCCCTTCTTTGTTGAAGATTAATTGACCATATAATTTTGGATTTATTTCTGGATTTCTATTCTGTTCCATTGGTCTATGTGTCTATTTTTGTGCTGGTACCATACTGTTTTGATTACCACAGCTTTGTAATATAATTTGACGTCTGGAATTGTGATGCCTCTGGCTTTGCTTTTCTTTTTCAAGATTGCTATAGCAGCTATTTGGGATCTTTTGTGGTTCCATGCACATTTTAGGATTGTTTATTCTAGTTCTGTGAAAAATGCTGTTGGTATTTTGATAAGGATTGCATTGAATGTGTACATTGCTTTTGGTAGTATGGGCATTTTAACAATATTTTTTCTTCCAATCCATGAGCATGAATGTGTTTCCATTTCTTTGTGTAGCCTTCAATTTCTTTCATCAGTGTTTAATAGTTTTCAGAGTACAGGTCTTTCACCCCTTTTGGTTAGGTTTATTCCTAGGTATTTTATTATTTTTGGTACAATTGTAAATCAGATTGTTTTCTTAATTTCTCTTTCTGCTGCTTCATTATTGGTGTACAGAAATGAAATAGGGGCACCTGAGTGGCCCAGTCAGTTAAGTAAGCAACTCTTGATTTCGGCTCAGGTTGTGACCGTTCATGAGATTGAGCCCTGTGTCAGGCTCCACACTGACAGCATGGAACCTGCCTAAGATTCTCTCTCACCCTCTCTCTCTGCCCCTCCCTCCCTCTCTCTCTCAAAATAAATAAATAAACTTAAAAAAAAGAAATGAAACATTTGTGTAGATTGATTTTGTATCCTGCGACCTTATTGAATTTATCAATTCTAGCAGTTTTGGGGGGACTAAACACTAAAGGTTTTCTATAGAGAGTATCATGTCATCTGCAAAGAGTGAAAGTTTTACTTCTTCCTTACCAACTCCGAGGCCTATTTGCCCCCTTGTCTGACTGCTGTGGCTAGGACTTCCAGTACTATGTGGAATAAAAGTGTTGAGAGTGGGCATCCTAATCTTGTTCCTGACCTTAGGGGAAAACCTCTCACTTATTCCCCATTAAGGATGATTTTCACTGTAAGTTTTTCATAAATGGCCTTTATTACGATGAAGTTTGTTCCCTCTAAACCTACTTTATTGAGGGTTTTTATCATGAATGGATGTTGTGCTTTGTCTAAACTTTTTTAAATTAAAAATTAAGCTGATTAATCAACTTAGCACTATATGCATATTCATTATAGAAATATGGAGATCAATGCCAGCAGGAAAACAGCTAAGAGATCTGAGAGTTTGTTCTTTTGGGGAGCAGAGTTGAGGGGTGGGCAGGAGACAGCTCTTTCTGTTAAATGCCTTACAACAGTATTTGAACTTACACTTTTAAACTTCCTATGTGCCTGCATTACTTTGAAAAAGATAACTATTAAAGAACAAATGATGTAAAAAAATAAAAAAGGCAAGCATTGGCAAGGATACAGAGAAACTGGAACCCTTAAACACTGCGATGGGAATGTAAAATGGTACAACCACCCTGAAAAATAGTTTGGCAGTTCCTTAAAATGCTAAGCACAGATTTATCGTTTATTCCATCAATTCCACTCCTGGGTATTTACTAAAGAGAAATGAAAACACGTCCACACAAAAACCATACACTGGCATTCACAGCAGCATTATTCATAATAGTTCCAAGCTGGAAACAACCCAAAACATCCACCAACTGTTGACTAGGTAAACAAAATGTGGTGTATCCATACAATGAGATATTATTCTGCAATAAAAGAGAATGACATACTGATATAGGCTATAACATAGATCGACTCTGAAAACATTAGGCTAAGTGAAAAAAGTCAGACACAAAAGGCTACCTACTATATGATTCCATTTATGGGAAATGTCCAGAAAACAGATATTTAAATTTTTTTTAGGTTTATTTATTTATTTTGAGAGAGACAGAGAAAGCATGAGTAGGGGAGGGGCAGAGAGAAAGAGGATGAGAGAGAATCTGAAGCAGGCTCTGCACCATCACTGCACAGCCCGATGCAGGGTTCAAACCCACGAAACCATACGATCATGACCCGAGCCAAAACCGAGAGTCAGACGCTTAACCCACTGAGCCACCCAGGCGCCTCTAGAAAACAGATACGTAGAGACAGAAAGTAGATTAATGGTTGCCAGGAGCTGGGGGTGGGAATGGGGAATGACAGCTAATGAGTAGAAAGTTTCTTACTGGGATGATGGAAATGTTCTAAAATTAAAACACGGTGATTATTGCACAACTCTGTAAATACATCAAAAATCACTGAATTTTATACTTTAAATGGGTGAATTTTATGACATGTAAGTTATACCTCAATAAACCTGTTTTTAAAAAAAGCAAATGATGAAGTCTGTTTTAAAAAGAAAACTTTCAGGGCACCTGGACAGGTCAGTTGGTTAAGTATCCGATTCTTGATTTCAGCTGAGGTCATGATCTCACAGTTGTGAGATTGAGCTCCATGTCAGGCTCTGTGCTGGGTGTGGAGCCTGCTTAAGATTCTCTCTCTCCCTCTCCCTCTGCCCCTTCCCTGCTTGCACATGCATTCTCTCCCTCAAGAAAGAAAGAAAGTTCACATTAGAAAGAAAAAGAAAACTTTCAGACTATGAGCTAAATGTTTATCAATAATTTGTTATTATAACAATCCTGAAAAGATGGTATCATTAAGTCTTTTACAGTAAGGAAACTGATGCTCTAAGAAGTCAAGCAAGTGGCACAATTAGCAAACATAGCCAAGTGAAAATATGTGAGCATGCACCCTAACTACAGAGTTCATGCACCTTCTTGCAGTTGTGATTGCCCAGACCCTGAAGAGCTGTGGGCGAATCACACCAAAGCCTGAGCTATGGCTCCCTTCACCGTCAGTTCCATACAAGCTTATCACCATTTATGTGCAGGGCATTGTTAGGCCAATAGGTGACCTCTGCATAGCCCAATATTTTGTCAGAGACAAGCATCGTGATATTGTTTATAATGAATATATATTTGGTTTTAGTGTCCGTTCCTGGCTCACAGCTCCCCAAATCCTTGGAATTTCCTAAGTGATAAGAACAACAGGAGCATCTTTTTTTACAGTAGCTGGTCTTTGTCCTCATTCCTGAAATAGCTCCAGAGACAAAAAAGTGAAAGTAATGTGTTCTTCATAATAAGCCCCTTTCAACCACACCTGAATTTATGTTAATGAGGGAACTTTTAGAAAGCCCTAAGGATGCTGCTGGTTGCCAGGGCAACCAACCATAATTAGATGGTCACATTTTCAGTCCCATCCCCTGACCTCCAGGGAGAGGGGTGCGGCTGGAGGTTGAATGTCAATGAGCAATTAGCAATGAAGCCTCCATAAAAATCCAAGACAAGCCAGAAAACTTCTGGGCTGGGGAAGACATGGAAGTTCCGGTAGGGTGGTGCACTCAGAGCGCATGGAAGCTCTGTAGCCTTTTCCTCATACCTTGCCTTATGTATCTCTTCTATCTGGCTGGTCCTCAGTTACAACCTTTCATAATGAACTAGTAATTTGGTAAGCAAAATGTCTTCCTGAGTTCTGTGAGCTGCTCTAGCAGATCAGTCAAACCCAGGGGATCGGGGGATTGTGGGAACCCTTGATTCTGTGTTGGTCAGAAGCACAGGTGACAACCTGGACTTGGCGGCTGGCATCTGAAGTGGAGTGGGGGGAAATGCAGTCTTGTGGGACTGAGCCCTTAACCTGTGAGGCCTGATGCCACCTCCAGGTAGACAGTGTCGGAATTAACTGCTTGGTGGGGCCAAAAAAGCACACGTCAGAATCATAAAATGCAGAGACCGCATGTGAGTAACTGAAAATGCGTGCTGGCTAATCTGTGCCACAGGTGGTCAGACATTAGCATTTGAAAATTAAGCTTCGCTTCTCTCCACAGCTATGTGGGGTGGCCTGGACAGTGGGCTTTGGAGCCAGACTCTGTAGGTACAAGTAGCAATTCTGCCACCCAACAGCTGAAGAACAGACCCTGAGCAAGTAACTCTCTGTGCCTCAGGCTCTCTACATCTCTACAGTGGGGATAAAAAAAAGAACCTTTTCTAGAGGACTATAAAGTCCTTAGAGCAATACTAAGTGCTCAATAAGTGTCTTCCATCAGCATTATTTCATCTATATATTTCAACTTGTCACCTATGCAGCCTGACTTTCCCCACTTTTGCTACAATATCGCCCTTTAGCCAGTATGTTTTCTCATCTACCGTGGAATTATCTGTTTCCTGACCCATATGAAATGAAAGCCCAAAGAGATGGTGGCCGTCATCTGGCCCAAGTCTGTTATTGTACAGATGGGAACAGTGAGGTTCTGCACAGCCGATGGGCTGCCCTGTCCCTGTACAATAACGAGATTACTGTACATTTTTTCCAATAACTTTTTATGCCCCCCAACTTCTCCAGAGACACCTCTTGTCCATTTAGCTAAAGAAATAGGTGAGAAAAGGCCATACTGTGATTTTAAAGACTGTCAAATGCTAATTACAAGTCACTCCAGGGGCACCTGGATGGCTCAGTTGGTTAAGCATCTGACTTCGGCTCAGGTCATGATCTCATGGTCTGTGAGTGTGAGCCTCACATCAGACTCTGTGCTGACA